AAGCTCTTGATTCTGCTAAAAATCTGGACGAGGAAGATGATGTTTTATGGGCTCCAATTTCTGCTGGTCCAATTATAAATGATGATCGGGCTTCTCTGGATGTGCCTTTAATAGGCCCACATATAACTCATGGTCCATTAGGAGGTGCCAACCCAATAAGTGAAATCTCATCTTCTTCTATAGAAACGACGGCTTCTCTTTCTCTGACGACAGAAATTTCTTCTCGTTCCCCGACGATTACTCCGAGAACAAACTTAGAAAATCCACGTTTGGCTGCAAGAGAAGAATCTGCGAATCCAACTCCAAGAGAAAATTCAGAAAATCCTTTGTTGGTAGCAAGAGAAGAAACTGCGGATCCTCAGGCGGAGGATACTCAACTGGGAAGAGGACATCGGAAAAAGGAACCACCAGGACATCTTAAAGATTTTGTTACCACTACGGTTCAGAGTCGATTTTTGAGGAATAACACGGGGAAATCAGCGTATCCAATTGCCAATTATGTTACTTGTGATCGGTTCAGTGCTACACATCGAGCTTACCTAGCTCAAATCTCAGAAGCGTTTGAACCCAGAACCTATAATCAGGCGTTTCAGAAACAAGTATGGAGAGACGCAATGGGAAATGAAATACACGCTCTTGAGGAAAATCAGACATGGACGCTTGTGGATTTACCACCAGGGAAACGCGCAATTGGATCGAAATGGGTCTACAAAATCAAACACAACTCTGATGGCTCCATTGAACGCTACAAGGCCCGTTTAGTAGCTCTTGGGAACAGACAAATCGAGGGTGTTGATTATGGAGAGACATTCGCACCAGTTGCAAAAATGCAAACGGTACGTTTATTTCTGCAAGTAGCTGCAGGAAATAATTGGCCTGTACATCAGATGGATGTACACAATGCATTTTTACATGGCGAACTGAATGAAGAGGTGTACATGAAACCTCCACCTGGGTTCTACTCAAATGATGAAAAGAAAGTTTGTAAGTTGCAGAAATCTTTGTATGGGCTTAAGCAAGCACCTCGTTGCTGGTTTGCTAAGTTGACAACGGCTTTGCGTGAATACGGGTTTCAGCAATCACTCTCTGATTACTCATTGTTCACTTTTGATAAAGGTGGAGTTCAAATAAATATTCTCATATATGTTGACGATATGATTGTTTCAAGCAACTCTCATGAGGCACTTCAAATCTTTAAAGAGTATATGTCTTCTTGTTTCAAGATGAAGGACCTTGGCACTTTGAAATATTTTCTGGGTATTGAAGTCTCAAGGAGTACTAAGGGATTCTATCTAAGTCAACGTAAATATGCTTTAGATATCATCTCAGAAACAGGGCTGTTGGGAGCAAAGCCGGTTGCATTTCCTCTAGAACAGAACAACAACCTTGCTCTCTCCACTTCGACTTTGCTTCCGAACCCAGAATCATATCGACGTTTGATTGGAAAGATGATATATTTGGCAGTAACACGACCAGATTTAGCTTATTGTGTTCATTTCTTAGCACAGTTTATGCAACAGCCAAGACAAGATCATTGGGAAGCTGGTTTACGTGTAGTCTGATACCTTAAAGGAAGTCCAGGGCAGGGTATTCTTTTGAAGGCTAAGAAAGATTTTCAGATTACGGGATGGTGTGATTCTGATTGGGCTACTTGTCCACTCACAAGATGCTCAGTTTCTGGCTATATTGTTCAGGTTGGTGACTCTCCAGTTTCTTGGGAAACAAAGAAACAAGACACTGTAAGTCAATCCTCTGCGGAAGCAGAATATCGGGCAATGGCATTTGTCACAAAAGAATTGATGTGGCTCAAGCGTCTTCTCCAATCTCTGGGAATAAAACATGATCAACCGATGCAGCTTTATTGTGATAGCAAGTCAGCTATTCACATCGCAACGAACCCAGTGTTCCACGAGCGGACAAAGCATATCGAAAACGATTGTTACTTTGTCCGTGATGAAATACAATCAGGTATTCTTATGCTCGTACATGTTGATAGTGCTTCTCAGTTAGCAGATATCTTTACAAAGCCTCTTGGTCGACAAGCATTTGATGATTTTCGAGACAAACTGGGCATTCACAATCTGCACGCTCCAGTTTGAGGAGGGGTATTGAGATATGATGCAAATCATATCGCACATGTTTAGGGATTATTCAATCAATCAATTCACTTGATTTACGTAATGTACAGTTGCTGTAATATTTAGCATTTACGAGTCATTATATTTTCTCTGTATAAAAGTATGTAATCGTCTCTTGTTTAAGGATATACAGAAATAACTTTGTCTCTGTTTTCTACAAAGTTTCTTTACTTCTCCTTCTGGACAAAATCCGACTTATGCTAAAGTTTTGCAACAAGAACAATCTCGTTCTTGAATTTTGTGCTGATGTTTTTGATAGTCTCTTCACTGCAACTTCTGTTCTATTACGTTACCCTATAAATAACATCAATAAGAATATGATCAACTTACTTTGACTCTGTAAGTATAACAACACTCACATAGATTTCTTAGGTGACACGTCTGGGATGTACAACCCTACAGCGTATAGGCCCGGTCCGGTTCTTCTCCAATCGAACCGTTGTAAATGTAGAAAATGTGTTGAGCTGCAGCATCGGAAGGAAGAGGAGAGAGGATGAGACAGCGATTTGCATCGCTGGGTACAAAATTCTTGTGCATGTTTGTGCTGAAGCAGAAGCGACAGTGAAGCTTATTGAAGCAAAACAGAGGATTGATAAGGAGCTCCTCTCCTTCACTGTTTCAAAGAAATTACAGTGCGGGGTATATTCTTATTGGTACATTCTACTTCTTTTTGGTTTAAGAAGAATGTACCAAAAAGAAGTATGAAATTTTGATCTCGATTACCTCTGATTTGGATTTTGAATACTAAATTCCAAAGAAATATTAAGCTAACATGTGGTTTTCAGGTTTGTCTATGGGATGTTGCTAATACTTAAAGCTATGAGGGTAGTTGTTTGGTTTAAGTTGAATTTTGTAAAAGATCCATCCGTTTTTTGCTTTGTGTAAATGAGTTATTTTTTTTATATATACGGTTTACTCGCAAGTCACATATTTTATCATTTTACTTTACCTAATTTTCTCTTTTGCTACTTAAAAGAATTTGTGTGGTTTGGTTTTGTTAAAGTTTGTCTCACTTTATTGTGTGTCTATGGATATGATTTTGAGATTTATGTTTCGTTTCTTAATTTATTTTCCACTTTCAAATGAATATTAATAAAAAGTATACTATGCAATTTTGTCTATATATATTGACATAAAAGAACTTAGGATAATTTAATAATCTTTTATTTGAAAATGCCTATAAAAGTTAGAAGTTTCTCAATTAACATGAAACGACATTATTTTAATTGAATTTTCTATTTTTAATTATTAAAGATAAATTAAAATTAACATTAAGATTCTCTTAAAGTTTTTTTTTTTTTAACTTTTGATTTTCTTAAATTTTTAAAGAGTGTCTTCTGTTTCTCAATTTTTACAAATGCTATAAGTAACTAATGGTTTGTACGTGTTTTCTTATAAAAACATTCCCAGCGGCAAATACCTTCTAAAGTATCTCAAAAAATTTTAAAAGAAAAAATAAATAACTAAAAGTTTTGAACCAATTAAAATGTGATACATATTGAGAAAGTGTTTCACAAAATAACTCTGAGAGCACCTCCAGTCTTTATGAGAGTATTTTATGAATATAAAAAGAAAAAAAAATAGAAAAGGTAGAAGAAGAAGAGAAAGAAATTTCTTAAATGACAAAACTCTGCATATGTTTTTAAAGATTACTCTACACATGTTTGTATTTAATTGGTTCAAAAAATTTAAAGCTATTACAATTTAAATAAATTATTAAATTCTATTAAAATATTAATATTATTTAGTTAAGATACAATGTTAAGATATTTGGTCGATGGAGATGGTACTCATTTGAAAACCGGTTCTCTCTCTTCTGTTTTTTTTATTTTTTTAATCCTGACATTCTTCAGCTATTCTTCTATTTGAATGATTATGCATTTATTCTGCAATGTGGTCCACAACAATTTATCACCACTAACAATTTATCTTGATGATTGAGAAATCATACAAACCCAATTAGTTTTAAATTTTGTTGGTGAACAATTTTCAGAACTATAAAGTTTTTTTTGTTGTTGTTAATAGCCTCAATCCTCAAACAGTTCAAAGAACTAAAAAGTTATATGATTACTTTAATAAAACAAAATGTAGAGCGAGCTTAAAAGAATTTTTAGTTAGAATTTGCACTAATTGTGTATGGTTCATCGTCTTCAAATAAAGGGCCTATTCATACAATAATCAGCTTAAATAGATATTCCAATATTGTCTGCATACTATCAGTTTGTCGTTTAACCTGTTTGGCTTTTCCTGTTCGAATTTTTGTTTGAATTTCTCATTTTTATTTGACTTCTGAATTGCATAGGTCTTGATTTGCCTTTGTGTTGAATGGAATCTTATTTTGGTGGTTTTTATACATGCTTTTGAGATTTTTGACGTATAGTTACTCGAAGTTAAAGTTCAAACTGTCCCACCTTTTTGTGGGTATTCCATATTGTTGAATGTATATGTGATCTTACAAAGATGACATGGATAAGATAGATTTATTATCGTCTCGGCAAATAAAATGAAGAACTGGTGTGGCATGATGTTTTTGGGAGATATGTTTTCGTGGGTGATAGATAATTTTCATGAAAATGACAATATTTACAAGATTACAATACTTATATTTCTATTTCAAAGACCAATCATGTACCAAGGAGAGATTGCCTAAACATTGCCAACAGATTACATAATAGAAGTGTGCCTAGGATCATCTTCAAGTTCTAAAAATGGTCTTTGTTCTGCTGATGGAACCCGTTTAGACTAATGAAATGGTCAACGGGTCAATCTTACATAACAATGGTGTGTGTGACATTCTATCTTTATTAGTTTAAGTAGAATGTACCAAAAAGAACTATAGAGTCAACGTTTCTATCTTACATAACAGATTCAAGTAAAGGGAGTTATATAATTTTGTATTGATTAGCTTTTTTCCTTGGTAAAAGATCGATCTGTTTACTTTACGTACAAAGTAACCATTAACCACTAAGAAGTCTTTTATCTCAAACATTAACAAAAGAAAAAGGATTGTTTTTAAATAAGTCATATATATTCTTGAACTATCTATCTTATATTCGCTCACATATCATAGAGTTTCGATAGACTCTTCATTTTTTTGAGACGTATAGTGGGAAGGATCTGATGGCTTCCTTGTAGGACTCGAATCTGGTGTGGCCATATGAGATGTTTGGTTCGGACTAGTCGAACCTGAAGATGATTGCGTAATCGAGGTTATTACGCTTGGTACATTCTCCTGTGAAGCATGCATGTTGACTCTTATCCTGTTGTGAATGTTCACATACTCATCGGTTTCGTCAAGGATCTCTTCCTGAAAAAAAATCAGAGCAAAAAACACATTTCTTTAATTACATTTCTAATTGCTAAAAAAGAGGATTTGAGTTTTACCTGAAGAAGCTCTTCGATAACGTCTTCCATGGTGATAACTCCTACAACCTCTTCATTGTGAGGGAAATCAGGTATAGGAGAATTCTCTATATCCAAAATGCAGAACGAGCAGCCTCTATGACGTTTCTTAGCTGGAGCAGCCGATAGAATCGTTTTCCCTTGCTGCTCCTCACCGTTCTCGCTCTTGCCGGATTTTGAATCTCCAGTTTCGATTTTGAATACTAAAAATTCCAAAAGTAACATCTAAGCTAACATGTTTTGCATATGGGGATGTTATGTTGCTGATACTGAAGAGTCATGAGGAGTCAGTCATACCTTCCTTCTCTGATACCTCAAGCTGGGCTTTTGGTTTCTTGCAACTGTCCTTAAACAGTTCTTCTTTAGTTTTCTTATTTTTTCTGCGCTCGCTACCGTTTTCGCTTGTTTCGGGTGATCCCTTATGCTCGTCAAGATCCTTATAGACAACTGCAATGTGGCTGTGACCCTTCTGAAACTCGTTTAGGATATCGTATAGTGGCATTGACTCAGAGACGCTGAAAAACAGAAAAATATGAACTCTGTGTAAACTATGTCGAGAATGTGAATTAAGCATTAGAGAGAGAGAGAGAGTCAGTCATTTACCGTGGAATCTTTCTCATGGTCATTTTTCTCAGAGGAACTTCCTTTCTTGCATCAACTGCCAAAAGATTTTTAACCTGCACCAGCACAAGGGGGCACCATTACAATGCTGTGAAGGAAAAGGCCATAAGTAAAGTACTCTTTCTCACTGTAAAAGAGTAACCCATTGAGATCTAATGGTTACAAAATAGTCCTTCTCGAACCTCTAGAAACTCCAAAAATAAAGACAGTTGATATTCTATATCTTTTGGGTACTTAAATTCTTTGTTTTTGGACTTACAATTAAGCTAGACAATACAAAAACAAAGACTTTTAAGTACCCAAAAGATGGAAAAGATATAAGAACATCAACTAACTAAAAGTAATAGAGTATCAATATGAGAGATAGGTACCAGAATGAGCCCAATTATATGTGTTGGATTTCTGAAATAAACTGGAACTCTGCTGTGACCAACTGACATTATTGTATTCAAAGTTTCCCTGAATTGTAGATGAGAAGCAGATTATAAGCATGATGAATAAGTGTTGAATCAAGATTAAGAGTTGATGAATAAGTGTAAATAGAAACACAAAACAAAAGCCAAAACCCACAAATTAAGAGTTGAATCAAGATCAAGGGAAAACGCATTCGAAATGGGAGTCATTGCATCTTTTGCCGTCTTTTCTGTTAATTCAAGTGCACCTGTGATGATAGAAGTCTCATCGTTTGTTAGATCTCCACCTTTCCCAGCCTAATCAACACAATTATGTACAAAACGTCTGTTAAAAAGGTAACAGTGCAACTTCACTCTTCAATTGCAAGGTCACAAGGCACTAACTAAGTTAAAATACAAACCTCATTTCCATGGAAATTCACGAATGTTTTCAGCTCTGCTCTCCGCAAAAGAACACCATGTCCCTTACCCAACATCCAATCAAGAACCTGTAAGCAACAAATGTGTATCACAATCACGAAACACTCTGCTATAACAAGAAAAGGTAGCACAATTCCAGTGTTTATAGCTGATTTTCAAAAAAAAAGAAACAGACAATTTGGTTCACACTCTTTCTCTCTTTCTCCCTCTCTCTACCTTACTGATTGGATATGAAATAGGGAAGAACAGTATAAGAAGAACACGAACAAAAGGAGCCATTATCGCTCCAACCTTAAGCCCGTATCGAGTGCAAACCGCCTGTGGCATTATCTGCAGAGATTTCAATGTAGGAAACTATGATCAACCTATACAGATGGAAACAGTGTTGAGAAAAACGAAAAGGTCAGAGATGTGGAAAACCTCTCCAAACACCAGTATAAGAGTCACTGAGAGAACAATAGCAGCCCATGGAGGCACAATTTTATCCAAGAATATTGGTAGAGCCTAAGAGAAGAATGTGAAGAGAACGCATCAAATCTTTGTATCAAAATGTTTACTAAAAGAGAAAAACTAAAAAGAAGAAAGAAGTATGACCTCCATAGCCATAGAGTTTCCTATCAAAAGTGTACAGAGCAAAAGATGCTGATTCTTCACTACTGGAAATATCTTACCTAAGAACAAAAACATTAAGCCAAATGTTCTTCAATTGCTATGTGCAATAACAATCGCAAATCAACGAAACAGAGGGATAACAAGCAGAGTTAGGTGAAATCAATTTGGCTTCTTTCGAAATTCACCAGAACAATCATGAAATTTGAAGTCCAAATTTCAACAAAATCAAAAGCGAAAGAATGATCACCGGCGTTGATTCGATCCTGAGGGCGACCGGATTTGATGAGAACTTCTAGATCGACTAAACCAAGAGACATGAGACCCAGCGTTAATCCTGCCATGAGCCCAGCGAACGCCACAAGAGCTATGATTATCACGACGAAGAACCAGAACGTGGTTCCGCAGCAAGGAAGATCCGACGACGCCATGTTTTAGCTCCGGAATTTGTTTTTTCCGGTGGAATTTTGCGGCGGGAATTTGGCGGTGATTGAGAGCTGATCGTGGAGTGGCGCTTTGGGGGTAGTGCGAATCCGATTCAAGACGCAACAAACGTTTTTTTGTATTGAGAGGACGAACAAGTGGGCCCCATTTCTATCGGAACGCATTCATTCTTCCTTTCCCTTTTCGGTATATGTTTTAATATTGTTTCTAAGATCGAACCGGTAATGTATAAATAGTCTGGCCGAATTTACTAAGCTGGTCCAGCTTATTTTTGGTATTTAATGACTGTATCTGTATGTGTATATGATTTTTAAAATTCTTATTAATTTCAAGGAAAAAGATAAGTTATGATTTTTAAAGGCCTGTCAGACGACATGTGTTCATGAATCTATCTAACAAATGTATTTAGCTTTGTAAACAAATTATTTACAAAAAGTTATCCACTATTAAATTACTTTTATGGAACACAGTTAAATTAAATATTTTCCGTCCTTCTTTTTCATAATATAGAAGTAGACAAACATAAATTCAGGACTAGATTTTGCGCAAAGATAAACAAAATGAAACATTGAAAACCACAATACAGTTATTCCATTTTAGTTGTATTAAAAAGCTGGATCAAAAACATAAATAAAAAAATGGATATTTGAAATTATTTTCCATTAAAAGTTGAAATAATTGTTAGTTAAATAAAAATATTTTGTTGCTTAAATTAACCGAAAAAAAGAAATGATCCAAATAAATAAAATTCTGGTATAAGAGTAACCGAAATTGAATACACAATTAAAGTAACAAAGGTAAAATACACGCAACTCAAACCATGTAATTTTAATCTCAAACAGCAAACTCTGTTTTCAATGCAGGTTGACAAAAAAAACAATTTGGCAAAAACGATTAAGTACTTGCAGGATCTCGAAGCGAGAGTTGAAGAGTTCAAATATGGTATCAGACAAAAAGAGACGAGGATTAAGGAGAACGTTCTTTCTGAATGAATCGAAGAGACATCAGAAACACAGCGAGATATGATGAGAGATGGGACAAAAGTAAGAGTTAAGCTCAAAGAAAGTGAAGTCTTTTGATCGAAGTAAGATGTTTGTATCGAGATTACATAGTTGCAAATATCATGGAAGCTGTGAGTAATCTCAACATGGATGCTTTCTCACACGCAAAATGGATTTCTCTTGTTGAATCTTCAAGCTTAAGAAAATTTTGAAAACGAATCTTCTGTGTAGTTTGTGGTTTCTTAGGAGACACGGTACCTTTGGGTTTATGGTTTTATTTCTTGTAGTTCCGTGGAACTGCGGTTACTTCAGTTGGAATGGTCCAACGATAACTGAAGAGAGTCACATGTGAAAACTGAATCAGAAACATCGACTCTTGATCCAGTTTCTTGTTTAATTTGCAGTTAGGGTGAGAATTTTCGATGTAATATTGGTATTAGTATGATGAAAACTGGATTTTTCGATGTAATATTGTGTGCTGTTTAGGTTCTTACAGATCGTAATGTAGTTAAAAGCTTTCAATTTTTTGGGCAGAGAGAATTTATGTATGATCCAGTAAATTGGCCAGAGCAAAAGTCACCACAATCTCCATTACTATTCCTTTAACCATCCTAAACCCGCTGCTACTCCATGGGAATAAAACAAATCAGATATATCTTAAACTTTAAATTCATACTCTATAAATTAAACCAGACTTTGAGACCTCCATAACATTTTTTAGTCATGGTCACAATCAGATATAACTCATGATTTAAAATGTATTGAAGTATGTTTTTGTGTACGTCTCGCCATTGCCCATTGGTAACGAAGACGAGGAGGAGGACAGGCGACGTTGGAGCCACGAGGTTAAATTATATTGACTTTGGTTGATGATTTGATTGTTAGCTCTTTAATTTCTGTGTTATTGTGGCTTGTCGTTTGTGCCCTATCGAGTTTATATAGCAACAGGGTAAACTCGTTTCAACTTTCAACAAGTATTTTAACTTTTATCTCTCGGATCGTCCTCAAACAAAATACATGCTTTTTGACCGCTTGGGCCATTAAATTCTCTTTTATTTTCTCTGAACCGATTTTTGTTTACACCATTGAATTTGATCATACGTTCAAAACGTAAAAACTTGTGGCGTGTTTTGTAGAATTCAATATTAGCCGTATGATCCAGAAAATCGGACATGTGTTAATCTGGATTTTGCCGCATCATCCATCTTTTTTTTTCTCCTCAAGTGTAATTTATTTTGGGCTCCCTACATTTGCCGAGATCAAAGCAAATTAACGCAGAATTTAAAGAATAAGAATCGCTTTGATATCATATATAAAACTATGATGTATTTTTAAATTGTGTTTGATATGAGATAATAAAATACAATATATAATGGTATTAATGCTAACATTCAAATAATATTAATTTCCTTACATACATATAGCAAATATGTTAAGAATACAATATATATCGAGATTTTTTTTTACAATATATATATATCAAAATTTAGAATATTTTTCTGTGTAGTTCATAATACTTCACTTGTTCTCAAGTTAATGTATCTCTGATATTTACCAGCGTTTTAAGTTTACCTTCTTCATTTTTTCACTTTCTTACTAGCATTGTTAGTAGACTAGGTATATAACTAGCGCTACGCGCAAGTCTCTATTAATATTTTGGTTTAATTTTTTTCAGCGACCTTTAAAATTATTAAAAATATAATATATTTATAAAAAATTTCATTTATATAAGAGAATTTAATATATAATATGTAATTTATCTTATTTTATTTATAAATTTTAAAAAACTATTAGGTAAAATAATAACAATGACACCTAACGAATTATCCAACTTTGACGTACATATACATTTGATTTAGAGAAATATAATTTTGCTAAGATTTTGGTATTATTTTCTGTTTTCCATAGAATTTCTTTAGTTTTTTTTTTCTTGAAGGTTTATGCGTTCAAATATTTAATTTTTTTTATTGAATGTCTTATTGATGATGTGTACCAGTGCAAAATATAATCCATGATTCATGTTGATTCGCATTTAATTTTGTTAAGAAACTGTAACGATCATGCAAAACTATTTTTTCCTTCTTCATCATGTCTTCCAAGAGTTTTATGTTATATTTTTATCCAGTTTTCATTATTTTAATTGTTAAATCGAGTTGTTGTAGATTTTTTTAAATTGATAATTGATAATGGTTACCTTTTTATACATATATTATTAATTGTTAATTTTTTATTTAACTTTTAAAATTTTAAACTATATTAATATTTTCTGATTTAATAAATATGTTGATTTGGATTAATCAGATTGAATTTACTTTTTTGTTGGACATAATTTGTTAAATTAACTTTTAATGTTTTAGTTATACTTAATAATTTTTGGTTTGTATTTTTTTGTTGGACATAATTTGTTAAATTAACTTTTAATGTTTTAGTTATATTTAATAATTTTTGGTTTGATTAAAAAGCTGATGTGGACCAATTAAATCAAGTTTTTCCGTCCTAATCATACTTAACATTTTTTTATTTAATGAATATGCTAATGTGGACCAATCAGATTGAGTTTTTTAATCACATGTGGACGCTCTCAATGCACTATGACATCAACTTTTATATATTATATATGATGGTTTTAAGAATTTATCATGGCTAAAGAATATCCAAAATCACTTGGCTGGTGTCGATCAAACTAGTTTACTTGCTCTCTTTTAATTTGCATGATGGGTCTAAACAACACGCTAGGAGGTCGCCGTAATAGAACCACAGTCTCGTACAATCCTTTTAAGTTTCTTTTAATTGAGCTTTATTGCTAAATCGTTTTTCTTTTTCACTTTTCTTCTTTGTAAGTGTTCATATTTTCTTTTGAACAACTAATTAAAAATAAAGTCTAAAATTATTAGAATACGATTAGAGTGTGACTAATTATCAAAATTGTCCTAATTTTGAACTATCATAACTGAACAGAATCTACGCTTAAAACCCAATTTCTTTTATTTAATTCGGCAACATATAATTATAACCAGATTAACTGAAACTAAACTAATCTAAATCATGATTTTATTCGGTTAGATATATTAGAAATTTCTTAACCAAACTAATAAAAAAAACCAAAATGAATTATTCTAATAAACTGAAATCGTAGGTCTAGTTTCTTTTACAAATTTGGGTTACGAATAAGAAGCTCAATGCAGTGTTCTGAAGCAAGTTTTTGGTGGTGGATGATGATATGAGTCCATTGGTTGGTCTTGGTCTTGAGTTTCACTTGTACGCTAGGAGCTTCTTTATCTACCAAGAAGACAAGGTTGCTGTGAACTGATGGTTTTGGCATTTTAAGGTCGCTACATGTTGAAGAAATGGCCTAGTTGTTTCACAACATCGAGCTATTTCCTCTCTCTGAGTCTGGAGACATTCCTCGTGGAGATCTAGGTCTATGCTTAGTCGCATAGCTAGTGGTGCATGACAACAATGACTTTGAGCTGATTTTCTCCTTCTTTGGAGTGTTGGACAATATTTCAGGAGATCGCAACAGCATAACCACAATCAATATAAGTGATAAAAATGATATATATTAAAATTAATTAATATAAGTGATAAAAATAGTTGCATCAATCAATAATATTGATATAAATAACTAGCATCATCAATCCCAGAGTGATTTAATTAAATGATGCAACTGAATTTACATCAATAAAAAAATGATATTAATAAATAAAATAAATGATACAATACACATGGTTTCTTGTAGTATTAATAAAAAAAACAAGAAAAGCTCAAAATATGCAAAACAAAATAGCACCACAAAAAAAAAAGAATTTATTGTATCATTTAAATTGTATAACAAAAATAAGTGATACTATTTTAAATTACTTATTTATAAATTAAACAAATATCAATGGTTTAGCATCAATTATAATAATTGATGTTGTAATTAACTAGTTTGACATCAGTTCAATAAAATTGATATAACTTTTATTAGTTTGTATCATTTTAACACAATTAATATTAAAATATACACTTACATCAAATAAATAATCGATGTATTTACTATTTTTGTTAACATCACTTATAAAAATAATGAAAATTTTATATTAATAAAAAAACTGATGCTAACAAAAACTATACTAATAACATAAACTTAATTGTGTAAATTAGCTTCAACTATTAAAACTGATGTTTCAATTTTCTTCTTTAA